AATTTTAAATTATATCTTTAAAGTCTAAAAGTGTGATGTAAGAAACGAATAGTAAATAAATTTGTTCTTCAAAACTCAGATTTAATGTTGTTTTTAGAACTTTGGTACAGACCAGTCTTAAAAGCAAACTTGACATAAAAAAACAAATCGCCATTACCATTTCGTATATATGTGGTAAAAGTTATCACTAAAAAATGTATACACACTTTAAATAATTGTAAATTGGTTCTACAAATATCATTCTTTTATCTTGTTATCGTATGTTCTCAAACTGATGTCCGTTCTGCTCCAGACACTGCTCACTACGCGAAGTGATAAAAAAGCACACATGGTAGAACTATTCCGTTAAAATATTCGTACATTCATGTTCAATGGTTGCCCATAATTAAACAATTGTTGCATGTTTCTGTGCGTAAACTTTGTCTTTTAGTTATGCCCATGACAAAAAGTCTAGTTGTGTGAGGTCTGGTGAACGTGGAGGGAATTGGACAAAATCTCTCTGTCCAATCCACCTGTTTGGCAAGATTTCATCAAAAAAGGATCTAACATCACGATGGTAGTGCGGAGGTGCACCATCTTGCTGGAAAAAAAACTTATCCTGTTCAAAGTCCTTTTTAATGCTTGGTACGACAAACTATTGCAGCAAGTTCAAGTAAACAGAACCAGTTACAGAACACGACTAAAAAGAAAGGTCCAATTAATCCTCTTAAAGACAAGCAATATCACACTGTAATTCGTGGTAAATTAACACTATAGTCGAGCATATTATGGATTCTCAGGTTCCCAGTAAGTGCAACTGTGTCTGTTATTCATACCATTTAATTTGAATGTGGTCTCATCACTCCACACAATCTTTGTGGCAAAGCGTACATATTTATTACATCATTCCAAGTACCAATCACAATACTGTACTCTCCAGTCTGAATCATCGTCATTATGGGTATGGACTAATCTTGGAATGTAGCTTCTCCACTGACAACTTTCATGATGCGCTGGACAGATAATTTTTAAAGGCCTACCTTATGACTAGCTTGCCGCAAAGACTTTCTTGGAGTTCGTTGAAACATTTCCAGTAATCTTTCTTCTTTCGTGGGTTTTGCCGATGCGCGTGGTCTTCCGGAACGGTTCCTATAGACGTCCTGAACAGTTCCATTAACTTTAAACTTATCTCTAATTCGAGTAATGGTAACTCGTGTTGGTGGTTCTTTTTTAAACTCCCTCCCTTAAATCGTCTTTTCTCTTAAATTGTCTTTCATTACTACTGCATTTTCATACTTCCAGTAAAAAAAGTAACTTAATTATCAGCTGCTAAAATGAGTATACATTATTTTGGGACACCCTGTATTAATATATATGTATATATATGTATATATATATATATATATATATATATATATATATATATATATATATATATATATATATATATATATATATATATATATTGCTATAGAAGATATACAACAACTATTTATACTTTCTATGAAATTATAGTTTTATTTATATGTTAACAGTATTTTTAACTTTGAAGTTTTCCTAGTTATATTGATACAATAGATGAAACATATCCTAGAAGAAGTTCTGAGGGAGAAAATGCAAAAGTATATCAAATAAAAGAGCGTATTTCTTTTTTGAACTGCCATTTATATAATTGTATTCAACAGCCTAGATGTGTTCAAAGATTGCAATTTCGTACCAACTCAACTGTGATACAGGTTTTATAAGCTCATCAGAACGTCCATCTTTATGCGACAGCGTCCCAATAAGGCTTGCGCAAGTAAGTGTCACTTGAAGGGGAAGTAATTGATTTTTTTGCAGAATAAAAAAAAGTATTTTTTTATGAAATTTGCCAACTTATTTTTTTGTAATTTGAAAAAAAGATTAGTTTTAAAATATCTTTTTACGAACAAAATCAAAAAGGTTCATAGAATTTTTATATTTTTCTCAACTCTCTAATATTGACTTTTACAAATTGATCTTTCGGTGAAATACGATGAAATGTAAAGTTATAATGAGGAAAATAGTTGCGAAGTTATTAAAGAATAAAAACATAAATAATCGAAAAGTATCAACACAAAAAATTTTTTTTTGATAAAGTAAAAAAAAAAATTTGAAAAATAAAATTATCTTCTCAAATAAAAAGAACATTAAAAAAGATATAAATGCTTTAATAAAATACTCCTTAAAATTGGTTTATTAATATCTAAAGTTGTTGTTTTTTTTTTGTGAATTTTTATTTTAATATCATGTTACTTTTGTTATTTTCTTGTTTTTTTTTTGGAAACTTCAATTTTTTTATAAATTTAGAAGATTTTAATTTAATTATGAACTTAAGTGACTCATTTGATCATTTGGTACATAAAAATATTGATATTGTGAAATGCTATTTGTAAAGCTAAGTTTGTTTAGTATTATTAGTTGTATTCTAAATAGAATTATATATTAACCTTTAAGGTTTTTGAAAATTTTAAAAACTCTAAGATTGTATTATCCTCATAAAAATCTAAAATAGAAATAAATGATTCTGTGGCAATATTTGCCGAACATTAAAGAAACTTAAATCGTGTTAAGCATTTTCTTACTATTAATTTTACTTTCTAAAAACGAATTATACAACCTCGTGTTCGACATATATGCTTTGTTTATTATCATTTGGCATATATATCATTTAAATATTGTTACGTCATAGTTAGAGCCTCGGCCAATATAGAAGGTATTAGGAGCATGTTCAATTAAACTCAATGTTTTTTACTAAGTTTTAATAAAAGTAAAAATTGCTATTTTTGTAACACTTTTCAATATATTTATGTAAGTTAATATTTTAAGGTATGAAACTTAAGATACTATTTAAAAATATATTGTTAATTTAGTTTATTTTAAAGGTATTTCCTTCACAAACTCTCCGCCGCCATTGATTGCAATTTTTTTTTTTCACCCTTTAAATCAACTTCTTTTAGGTTTTTACTTCTTTTTTCAAGTTTGACTTTCTCAAGAACTTGAATTTTTTTAGTTTCGTTTACGCATTTGCTCAAGCATTTTTTTAAAGTGTTACTTGACTAAGTCAGACTTCAAAATTCAAATCAACCTTCACTCAAGTTGGCTTCTTTCATTCAACCCTTAATAGTTTGTGTTATTATGTTTTAGCTCTTTTTAACAGCATTTAATGAGGATTGTCATCCAGAAGAACAATTGGGTGTAAACTTGTGACTATCATTATATAGGTGCCATGAACATTAAGCAACTATTCTGAGTTTGGTATTTGCTATTTTTTTACTATATAGTGTTTGGCCAAGGAGTTATAATAGCTCAGCTGGATAACAAAGTTAAAATACGTCATTTCTCAAAGAATAGTCTTAGTGTTAACATAATTTTTTGTTAAACACCGCGGAATTATCATAATTTAAAGTTAACCAATCACATTCCAATTTTAACAAAAGCTATCCAATGTTATTGTTTCAGAACGTTATAAGCAATTGAAGCATTGCAAATAAAAAAATAGAAATTAAAAATATCGTAAATAATATTTAAAGTCAGTTAGTTGTTATTTTTTGTTGTGCTATATAAACGACTAATAATAATAAACTTCTAACTAATAATAAATTTCTAGATTAGAATTAAATTAGTAAATATCTAGATAAGAATTGGTAGTATTTTTGCCAAGTATTTTATATCTCTATATTTAGAATAAAGCAATGTGCTTTTAAATCCATCAAAAATACTCCGACACAAAATAAAATCCTGGAAGGATTTATTAATTTTCTGGCCCAAAAAAATAGTCTTAAAGAACGTAACTAACCTATAGCTGAACAGGCAAGCAATAAATAAGGTTCAAATAGGTAGTAGAGATTGTCTAAAACTTTGATATTTATACCTATAATTGAGGTAGGCTAGAAACAGTTCACCTTAACCGTGATTTTTGTTTTAATCAACTTCCTTATTGATCGAATAGTTGTTGATAACATACCCAACAAACTTTCATTTTATTAATCCATTTCGATTACAACTCTCAAAGCTTACTGATTACATTAAAAAATATTTTATCTTTTTGCAATAGTGCCATTTTGTCTTGCTCCTGGAATAGTTTTACAACAAAGACTGTAACGCGATTAAATTCCATTTTCGGCTTCGTTCTCCCTCCACCTAAGCTATTATACCTCCTTGATTTTGCCAAATACCAAAAACAAAGTCATAAAATTAAAATAAGATGATAAATAAATCGTCCCAAAATTTCCTTGGACTGATATGGTTCAATCATTTTTGTATAATTTTTTTTTTTTTGTATCAAAGTGGAGATAAATCATCACGTCTGCCACTAGACTCGCCATTTATATTTTTCAGACCTTGGAACATATTTTTTAGTTTTGCTTTTTGTATTTTTACTTGGGCCATTTTAATCCCAATAAACCAGTTGAAAAATGTTCACTTATAATTTTATTAGCGTTGAAAAACACTATAAATGTAGCTTGTAGCGTAGATTTTATCTTTAATAGTTAAGGTTTTTTCTATGGGGTCTCTTCCTAAACATGGTATTTAACAACATGACACCATGTGGAAACTTCTGAAATACAGTAGATAAATAAACTGGTTCTTTTGGTTATTTTTTCTAAGGGCTTAAAGAATTTATTATATTGCTGCATTAACAATAATTGATCAACTCAATTGATCAAAGTTTTATAATAGGCTTTTCTTAAAGTATTGTTGAAATATTTAAAACTATCTTTTATTTTTGTGAAAAATAAGACTTTGCTACTGGTTTATTAAATTTATAAACTTGTTTGCAATTATTAGTATAAATTATAATAGCCTAAATTTCTTTTTGCCTTTAAGCAAATATGTATTACAGAAAATTTGTAGGAAAACAAACAAATTAAACTAATATAATCAACTATTAACTTTACTTGTTTATAAATATCTATATTGTTGATTCTTAAAAAATATTCTTAAAAACAAAAAACTTGTGTAGTATATTCAATCTTTAAAAATGTAATCAAATATAAAACCTTAAACAATAACAAAACTACTGATGATGAATCAAACGCTCCAGCTAAAATGCATATAACAAGTGATTTCATTTTTGTTGAGAAAATGTAATTGCTCATCTAAAACATAAGAAATAAAATATTTATACATACATACATACATACATACATACATACATACATACATACATACATACATACATACATACATACATACATACATACATACATACATACATACATACATACATACATACATATACCCATACATACATACATACATACATACATACATACATACATACATACATACATACATACATACATACATACATACATACATACATACATACATACATACATACATACATACATACATACATACATACATACATACATACATACATACATACATACATACATACATACATACATACATACATACATACACACAGACATACATACATACATACATACATACATACATACATACATACATACATACATACATACATACATACATACATACATACATACATACATACATACATACATACATACATACATACATACATACATACATACATACATACAATCAAATAAAGAGTAAGTTAAAGAAAACTATCAAAACATCACGAAATGAACTTGAACTCAACGTTGCATGCAATAAAAAATTCCTAAACGTCTGTTTGCATATACTAATAGCAAAAATAAGTATAACTTAGGTATTAGCTATTAACTGAACAGCCTCTTAAAAACTGATCTCTGATTAATTAACAAACAGCAGCAAGCAAAAATTTTTAAAAAATCATTAAAAACTTTTTTCATTCAGCGTTAAGTCCGCTATTTGGCATATTTTTATCAAAGCGAACTGAATTTTTTGTTTCTATTTAGCTATTTATCCAAATGGACAAAACCTTTAGCGATACTTTTCCAATATATTTACCTTCTATTTAAAAAAGAATAGACAACCTGTCTGTAAAACTGTAGATCTATCAGTATGACCTCTATCAGGCTCATCTCTATTACGTGTAAGCTAGTGGAAAATATAGTTAGGCAATTAACCCATGGGCATCAGGTATTTTTTTGTTGTTAGATTTGGTCTTCCTGGATTTCGTAAATGTCTTTGACAATTTTTACTATATGAGCCTAATCCAAATACTAGAACGGAAAAAGTAAATCAAAAAATTTCAAGCAAAAGTAGATGCAGAGAAAATCTTTGTTGAAGTACAAAAAAGAAAGAATATTATAAATGGAATTTTAACAAAAGTGGGAGTTAGTGTTGAAATTCGAATAAAATAAGTACATTGTAGAATATAGCTTCATAGTTTTTTTTAAAAAAAAATGTTTTTGCTGAAATTAAGAAAATAGACAATATATATTTTTTAAAACTTTTTTATGTGATTTTATTTGAATACTTTTTAGAAATATTTTCATGGTTTCATCATTCAATATGTTCATTCAATTTTATGGTTATATAGCAAAATTAAAACATTTCCAATTTCGAAAACCACTAAAATAATTTGTAAACACAAAACGCTACTTTTTAAAAATACAAAATTCCAATAATACTGGTGCATATAAACATTTTAATGCTTTTTTTTTTTGTTTATTTGCTAGCTCTTTTGAAAACTTAATCCATATAATATTATAGTTTAGATGCTACGCTAACATAAGTCATCTATTAAAGGTTTTGAAAAACTTTAAAAATTTACTGTCATTTTTTTAGTCTAGGAAATAATTAGTATTTGAAAAATTTAAAAGCATTATTTGAGAAAAAAAAAATTTCATTTTTTGAGAAAAAATAAAAAAATATTTTGTTACACTTTTATTGTAAAATAGAATAAAAATTAATTATTCATACTTGCTTGAAAAGCACTTATCTAGAATAGTCAACCTTAAAAATTAAAATGGCTTACTTGGTATGCAGAAATAAGCTGTGCTGCACCTCCAGAAACAATTCCAATAAATATTGGAAACAAATAATCTTCATAATCTAAATAAAGTAAATAAAAGAGAATGTCGGCAGAGATAACAAGAGTACAATATTTTTTTCAAAGCTTGATATCAAACGTAAATTACTGAACAGTCATTAATCCTTGTGAGTACAAATATAACAAAATAAAACAAGCACGGACAGTCATACATAATTCATATTAGAAATGTAGTTCCACCAAAGTATCCTATGTTTACTTGCAGGTAAGTTTCAAATTCAATATATATATATATATATATATATATATATATATATATATATATATATATATATATATATATATATATATATATATATATATGTATATATATATATATATATATATATATATATATATATATATATGTATTATATATATATATATATATATATATATATATATATATATATATATATATATATATATATATATATATATATATATATGTATATATATATATATATATATATATATATATATATATATATATATATATATATATATATACATATATTTATATATATATATATATATATATATATATATATATATATATATATATATATATATATATATATATATATATATATATATATATATATATATACATATATATTTCATCTGATTCTCTTTCTTATTTTTTAAAATCTGTTAGACCATCTAGCATGAGTACTGAGTTTAGAACTAGACTTGGACTTTATTATAAAGTCAAGTCTCAATTCTCCTAAAAATTACCTTTTCTTTATTATGATGTAGAAGACTTTGCTTGATGAATATTCACGCATAGTACAATATAGTTATTGATAAAGTTATTTACAAGCTCACTAAAATTAATTGCTGATTTTTTTAAAATAAAATTTTTATGATACATCTTATTATCTTCTGCAAAAACTTGGCAAAATATTGACAAAAAAATGTGAAAAGTAAAAACTCCTATTTATAATGTTTTAACCTTTTACTATTTTCTTTTTTTTTCCTTATTATTTTAAATGTTGGATCTTAATAAAATTGCTGTTTGTAACCAGATGTTTATTTTAACCAGAGGTAAAATAGGTAGAGGATTTACCTTCCGTAAATAAAAAAATCAATTAAAATGCGTGTTAAGGTGGTCCTATACTAACAAAATTTAAAAAAATCGGTTTTTCAAAAATTGCATATTCTTGATGCCCAAAGATCCTACATTCCAAACATATATAAATCATTATAGGGAGTAAATTAAAAAATGCTCTAAAATAGCAAGTTTCACAGTGAAGTTAAATAATTTTCTTAGCAACGGCCTTAGCAACGGGTTGTTTATATTAGAAAGTAGGTGTTTTAGAGTGTTGCGTTATTAACTTTCAGCTTTTGACACTAGTGCAAGTAATTGCTTTATGTTTATTTTCCTAAATAAGCCATGATTTTTAAGTACAATAACTATGTTTACATTTATTACTTATAGAAAAACTATCAGCCTTATGTTATACTTTATTTGTCTCGTAATTTTTTTTATTATGGGAAACAATGAATGTGATTCAAATTAAAGAAGGAAAGCAGGTGGTAACAGGATTTAAACAAAAAAGTACTTTAAAGAAAATTAATTTTCCTCAGCATCAACAGTCACCACTAATTTAACTTCTTAATCGGAAATCAGTAACTCAACTCAATCAAAAATCTTGACATCAACATCTTCAAAAACGTTATCACATAGCAGTAAAAATAATAATGCAAAAATTAATGATTCAAATATTTTGTCTTCATACTTTATACTTATTGACACAGAAATTTTAAAATCAATTGTTAGTTTGACTTGACATTGTTTCCAATGTCATGATTGAAATCTCAACTGATTTATGAAAAAAAAAGGCTTGACTGTGTTTTTAAATATTTCTTGTACAACATCTTTGTGCAATTGGATACAGTCTTTTTATTCTAGCAAAGAAATTGAAAAGCAAGGTTCAGAAATGGTTCAGAAAAAAATTATAGATCTGTTGTTGTCATGAGAGATATTGGACTAAATAATTCTGATTTTGGAAAAATATTTTGGTCAAATGAACTTACCTAATCCAATGAACTTACCTAATCCAATGAACATAAAAGCATATAAAGATATTCGAGAAAAAATGCAGCAAGTGAATTTAGATATCTTAACAACGATATTTAACCAAATGATTTTTATATTAATGTAGTAGCTGATATTGTTGTTTCCTATGATGGAACTTGGAAAAAAAGGGATATTATTCATTTAATGGTGTTTTTACTGTTACTGCCAGTGACTCAGTAAAATATGTTGACTATTGAGTTCTTTCAAAAATATGCAACGCCTGTACATCATGGGAATCAAGAAAAAAAAGCAATCCAGAACATTATAAAATTTTTTTTGGAAACCCTTGATTGTTTAAACAATCATGAAGGTTCTGCATCATCTATGGAAGTTTCTAGAATTGTAGATTAATTAATGAAATCTATAGACAAAAGGAGACTTCGATATACTCACTACATTGGAATATACATTGGAGACGGGGATTTCAAAAGTACAAAAATAGACCAAAAAATATGATTGAAAAGAATTTGCTTGAATCAATAAAACAAAAAAAAAAGCTGCTTTCTGCACAATGAAAAGGTTTTACAGATATAGTAAATAAAGGTGCATCTTATGAATCAGGAGTTTTTTAGATATTAGTTTTTTGTTATTTTTTGAATTAACTTTTTGTTAAGGCAGTTACTGTACTTTGTTAGATAGTCATTGTATATTATTTTCTTATATTCAAGCTTTTTTTCATTGATTGAATAATTCTATTTTGGTTTTGTCTTTTAATTACTAGAGTTTATACATTTTTCTTTTTTCTGTGCTTTCAATAATGCTCAAGTCGTTTTGTTTTTCAATAATTTTTTTAGCTTTTTAAATATTAAAAAAAAATTTATCATTAAAAATCTTTATTGTTGTTTTTCTTAATATATGAGTTTTTTGCATGCTGCGATAATTATCTTGAGATTGATTGGTCTAATTTTGTTAAAATTTTCAGGAGTTGCTTATAATACATATGCACATTCACCTTACCAAAAGAATTCATGTTAGGTCTTTGGTTCTAAAAATAGGGTCTAGGTTCTAAGCTTTTTTGGGGCATTTTTTTAGGCCTTAAACCTGTTTTCTTACAAAAGCTTCAATAGTTTGTTAAATTATTTGATTTTGGCAGGGTGAGTGTAATCATCTGATATTAAAAATCTGTAAAAACTTCATGATTAAACCATTATTAGTTTACAGACTGTTTATTGCAGCGCGTAGTCCATATTTATGGTCCATGGGCCCAAAATTTTGACCAAAAAAAAAAAAATATATATTTTATTACTGTGCTTTGAATATAAAACACTATTGCTTATATGAAAATCATAAAAAATCAGTGCATTTTTAAAATTTTGATTTTATTAGTATAGGACCATCGTAAGTATATGTTCTTTATTACGTTCATTTGCAAAAAAATGGCATATTTAAGATGAAAAATTCCTCAAAAGTACTTATTTTTTTCCCTTATATACTAATCTTAAAGCATATTCACTCACTTATCTGTATAATTATTATGTTTATTAAAATAGTATTTGTAGACAAAATAATCAGAAATAATTATTTGTACAAAAATGAGTTTATTTGTATAACTTTTAATTCTCCGTTTTGCTGAACAAATTTTTATCTTTAAAAATAAATAAAAATCTTTAATAAAATTATGAAAAATATTTCGTTATTTTATTTATTTTATTTAAATGCTTTTCAACGAATACCCAGCTAGCACACTTACGTTGGACCAACGTATGTAAATACATAGCCAGCGTTTGTTTTTTTTTTTGGTTGTTGACGACGTTGCGTTTGTAACCAAAACGATAGAGTTGCCAGCCGATGTTGGTCCAATGCAACCCGCAAGATTGTACTAACGTTTTATCAACGTATGTGTGCTGGGTATTTACTTTTTAACTAAATATCTGGGTATTTACTTTTTAACTCAATGCATTTGCATTTTAATTAAAGTCTATAAATTTAAAAAAGAATCACATAAATCAATTAAGCTTACCTTAGAGATGTGAATATTACCCTATTTTGAGACGTTTATTAAATTTTTTTTATTACTTATTGAATTGTTGCATATATTGTTTAGGTACGTACGTATCTGGCTTTTACGGCACCGATTTTAAAGTAAAAATCTGTGACCTACTTTTTCACAGCGTGCTTAGCGAAGGTGTCGTAAGGATGAGTTTTGTTCAGTGGCGGACTGGGCCGGCGGGACATCGGGACATTTCCCGGTGGGCCGGTCGAATTAGGCCGGTGATATGTAAACTATTAAATTATTGCTTCTGAATAAAAAATAAATAAAAATAAATTAAAAGACTTTAATAAATAAACGTTTAATATAAAAAATATTTTATAATTTAATTTAATAAAAGCGTTTCCTAATTATTAGCAGTAATGACTTCACATCTATTCTTTATAAAAGCATAAACGTTCTAATTTAAATAGAATGACGTAGGTTAATATTAAATAATCGAGCTTTTCAACAAAAGATTGTTTCATTATTAAAAGTATTTATCAAAAATTTATTTTGAAAAGAAAAGTAAAAATTTATTTTTGGTGGCAAAAACGTTGTTCGATATTAAAAAAGTTATCAATAAATAAAACTATTTAAATAGATCTTATTCTTATTTTTTTCATCCAACTGGAAGTGTTCATTTTATTTTAATTATATAATATTATTATTATTTTATAAACTATATATATATGTAAGATGATTTATTGTTCTTTTCGTACATTTTTGATAAATCATTTTTTCTTAAAGCGTATACTATCAATGCAAACTTTAAGAATAAATTATCGATTAATTTTTGTTTAGGCGTTCATGGGTTAAATAAATATTTATTGTATTATATTAATAATTTAAACGTAAATAATTTAACTTATTGTTAAATTATTTAAGTTTAATATTTAGAAAAAATGGTAAAAAGAAAATTTAAAAGAGGCGCTCAAAAAGAAAGAGAAAGGCGACAAAAAATCATGCAAGAAGCTGCTAAAAATACTCTTAAATTAAGTGATAGGTTTTCTTCAACTTCTAAGATCAATGCATTTGATATTGAAAACTTGAATAAGGATTTGGATTTAAGTTCATCAGTTTCGAGGAATGATGAAACTATTATGTGTCCCATTGGCGCAGATAAAATTGAAACATCAATTCTCGAAGAAATAACTTCAGTGTCAACTTCCACCCAGGCCAATAATGAAATGATAACACCAACAAACAAAATGTTTAATTTCTTATCAGATAATTATTTCATAAGGCCAGGAAATCAAAATTAGGAAGACTTTTTTAAAAAACATCCATGCCAACCAACCATTGATGACATTACTAGTTTACCTTTTAAACCAAATATAATATTTTATAAAGAAGATAAAGTAAATAGGCGTTGGCTATCATATAGTTTGGAAAAAAATCTCTATTTTGTACCATGTGTTTGGCTTAAAGTGATATTACAAACGAGAGTTTGTTTGTAAATCGTGGAATGACGGACTGGAGGCACACTTTGCAACGTGTTAAAGAACATGAAAACAGTAAAACTCATGAAAATTGTGTAGATTGTCATATGCTCAAATCTAAAGGCAAAAATATTTATAATTTAATGTTCACAAGTGAAGGAAGCATACGTCAGAAAAATATTATTGAACGAAAACAAGTATTGGAAAGATTTATAGATGTTGTAAAATTAATTGGAAAAAGAGGATTAGCTTTTTGCGCTAACCGATCTGAATCTGTTTCTTCACTTTCACTTGAAAATAATCAAGAAGACCATGGTAACCATGGTAATTTTTTTAGAAATAATATTGCTACTCTCTAAATATGACGTTGTTTTAAAATTACATTTTTCAAGAGTCATCAAAGAAAAGAAGAAAAATAATGAAACATCTGCGGTAACTAAAGGTAGAGGCAGTTTCATTTCATTAATTTCAAAATCTACTATTAACCAGGTAATATTGGCCAGTGGAAAATTAATTCAAGATAGCATTTTGTTAGATATACAGGAAGCAGGTATTTTTTCTTTGCAAATTGACACCACACAGGACATAACAAAAAAGGATCAGTGCTCAATTGTTGTCCGATATGTAAAGGGAAATATTTATGAACGTGTAGTAGCTGTTTTAAATTGCAAATCGTCTACAGGGAAAGACATGTGCAATTTAATTAGTACTTTTATTAAAAACAGTGGATTAAATATTAAAAATTGTATCGGTAATTCGACAGACGGAGCAGCAAACTTGCGTGGCGGTATAATGGCTTCGCCAGTTGGTTAAGTAAAGAATCGCCTGGTCAAATTCACGTTTGGTGTTATGCCCACGTATTGAATTTAGTTGTCACAGATGCCACTAGTTCGGTAATTGAAGGTACTTCTCTCTTTCAATTACTCAACTTGTGTGCCGTATTTCTAAGAGAATCTTATTAACGTATGGATGTTTGGGAAAACACCAGTGTAAAAATAAGGTATCAGAGACTTAACGTTATAGGTGAAACAAGATGGTCAGCAAAAGAAACACTACTGAAAAAAATTTTTGGGCATTATGATAACAAAGAAACCTCATTATATGTATACTTATTGATAACTTTGAATTATTTTGTGTCTAATGTATCTTTCAATGCTCAAATTAGACACACTGCATCAGCACTAATGGAGTCTTTTTTGAAATTTAAAGTTATACTTACAGCGCATATTTATTTAAATTTTTTTAAATATATTGGACCGTTATCTAAATATTTACAAACCAGCAATTTAAACTATTTAAGCAGCTTATAACATGGTAACTTCTATATTAAATTCTTTAAAAAAAATTTCACGTCATTTTAGTAATGTAAAAGAAAAGTCAAATTCATTTGCTAAACGTGCGAATACACTACTTGAAGAGGAAAATTGTGAAATAATTGTCGAAGAACATATACCAGAAGAGAGATTTAGACGACGAAAGAGAATGCCCGACGAAATAACCGAAGATCATGAATTTTAAAACCCAATCGAAAAACATAAAATAACCACGTTTAACGTAATTATGGATACCACAATAAATACTATAGAAAACCTTTTTAAAAATCATGGAAAATTATATGCATGGCAATATTAGACTCTAAAAACTTTATCGACAATAAATGTTCAGAAAACAGTTTAGAAGAGCTCAGTAAATTACTAGTAAAATATCATAAAACAGCTACAGCGTCAAATTTAAGGGAGAAATTAACTGATTTAATGACAAAATGGGACGACTTTATAATATTTATGCAAGATATATATAACACCGATGAATTAACTGATTCAGATTCAGAAATAATAAGTGAAGTATGCCTCAAAAACAAAAAGAGTTGCAAAAATTGTATTTATTGCTGTTTTAATTACTTGGCTAAATATAATTTATATAGCAAAGTATACAGCAATGTTTATTTTGCATATAAATTTATTTTAACATTATCTTCAACGCAAGTAGCTTGTGAACGAAATAAGTCTGAAATAAGTCTGCTGATATTCAAAACAAATTGATTGCATGAGCCATCACTAATGCCAGAAAAATCCAGTTTTCAAAATGGATTTTTCTGACAATGTCATAAAGAAATGATGTTAGAACTAATAAAGCGTATGGCAGACAAAATTCAAAAAAGAGATGACAAAGAAAAGAGAAAAAAAGAAAGAATTTTAAAAAATTGCATGCCGCATCAGATAAAAGAAATGTTTCTACAATTAGAAAGTATTGCGATTTCGGATATTGAAGAAATTCTTGTTGGAGCTGCTATTGGAAGATATATTTTCCACATGTGGTTTAATAATGCTGTTAATTGCCAGGATATATATTATGTTAGACTTCTTAGTGTTAAAAAGAAGAACAGTGCTATACATATAGTTTCTTTTGGAAACTAAATGAGATTGAGGATGATGATGCTGTAGAGTATGAGATAAGCAAATATAAACTATCTGCAGACATCATAAGTGGTAATATGGTAATATCATAAAGAAATAGTGTGTGAATACTTTTTCTACTCAGAATAATCGACCTTGGCGTGCATAGATGCTGAGATGTTAGTGTTAATTAATTTAAATCAATCACTATACCCTGAAATCGCTATTTCTTTTTTATTAAATAAAAACAATAATTTCATTATTGTTTTAATTTAGTATCTATTCTATTTTAGGTAACAAACACTGAAAGATTCATTTGGTTCGATTGGTGTTTCTGTTTTAAGGGCACAATGTGTTAAACATTAGAAGTAAAGTTATTTTGATTTGTTTTTAACTTAAACTTTCTTTTCCATTATTTTTATTGAGTTTGTTCAGTAATTTTAAAAATCTAATACATTTTATTTATCATTGCAAGGTTTTAACTCGTAGCATGAAAGCTGAAAAATAGATTTTTGCTTCAACGAATGCTAATCTTTAACAAGTAAACGTTAAAGCGGTAAGATTATACTTGTAGATTAGATTATGCAGTAATAACAGTTACATATTTATTTTCCAGGATATATGGTTTTTCTATTTAAAATGATTGTGTTGTGGTAACATGTGATCCATTTTTTTTTAGCTGTCATTGCACTGTGTTAACTCTGTTGCGGAAGAATCAACTTTTTTTAACTTTGGATGTGCTTTAAAACTAGGCTATTTTTATAGCCACAAATATGTTAAAAAGATTACTAAGCAAATGGAAATACATTTATTTAGTTTTTATTTTTTATTTACGAAATATATTTTAAAAGAATAAACCTTTTTTTTGACGGGATGTGAGTCTTAATCGATTTAAATCAAGACGGTATACAAAAGATACACTAAAACGCTTTTCCTAATACATGTCTATATATCTTTCTGAATACCAACATTAAGTGTTGCCGCCTGTTGTTGTATGGTAAAATAATGAAAAACGCTTTATTAAAGTTTTTTTATTATTGGCTCTAACTGGAAAAAATCGTGTGAGTTGCACGTTGATCAAAAACAATCCTTGCATTCCCCAAAAACAGTTTGCTTTTACTTTAGTCACGGGGTTTTCCGACTTGATCCATAAGTCATTATCAGTGCGAAAAATATGTATAAATATAGAGACTATTAAATTTTTTAATTGTCTTTATATTTAAGTACTTTTTAGAGTTTATCAAAAGTTATACTTATATAATAACACAGCAAGTAGAATATGCGTTTTAATATAAAAATCTATATTTATAAAATAATGTATATAAAAAATAGCACGTATATATGCGCTAATTTTCAAATATATATATAAGAACTTATATGTTTTTGTAAAAAAGAAATTTTCATTAAAAATAATTTTTTTATTTAAATAAGCAGTATCATTTATTGTTAAAGATGCGTTGAATTAAAATTAGAAGTTATTATTAGAAAAGTACTGTTAGCCGGACGCCAATTTCTAAAAAGCAATCCTTTTACCAGGAAATAATTTTTTTTTGTCAGATTGAATTTTTTTTTTCAAAATATTTAATAAAATAGTTCTAATAACAAATTTGAGTTACTAATTATCAAAAAAAATTAAAGTTTTGATTTTTTTTTTAAAAACATCAAATTTTATCCAAAAAAGGCCTAAAACTGTACACACAGGTGAAACAAGAAAACTGAACGATAAAATATCTTTTTCTCATAAAACTTTGTACAAGTTTTCTTGATATTATTATCTAGGGAATGAACTAAAATGAAGCTAATTGCATGAGTAGAAAGGTCAATATTTCAATTATACTATCACTATTAGTACTTTTCGGGGGCTATGCATGAAAATATAATGAATAACGAACAATAGCACTGTAAATGTAGCACCATATGCCTTGATTTTAGTTCATTCTCTAGATCTAAGTGATTACTGCAAATGCTGAAATTTTCAGCACTGCATTTTGAATCAATCTTGAAATATCTTGTTCTAAACTTAAGCGTAAACTTAAATCGTAAAAAATGACAAATTGAGAAAATAACATTTTAAAAATAAAAAAATAAAAAACAATCTAAAAACTTCCAGAAGCATAAAATTTTTTAGCTTCAAGTTCTTGTTCTTTATCAAACCAACCTTTAGAAAAACCCTTTAATTGAATTCTTCTTTTTTTATTGAGAGTTTTTCTTTTCTCTCCATATTATTAACACGACGACTGTCCTTTTGCAATAAACCGACTACAGTTTTACCAATGTGTACTATATTAAGATATTCAAAAACACGTTTAAGACCAGATGTTCTTTGATTAAAACTCAATATAGCTGAATTAATTCCAATTTATAGGGTACCTTTCTTTACAAATACATTTTTCGGACACTTAGACCAAATTATTTTATTGATCCCTTCATTGCAACTTTGTGTTTCTCCATGAACACATTTTTCCAATAATCGGTTATCGCTTAAATCGTTGAAGTCACTTAATATAATATCATGGATCTATATAGGTAGTTTAACTTTTGGTTTATAGTTGTCCAAAATCAAAAATAAGAGAGAAAAGTGTGTTGCTACGGGCGGTTGCTATGAGAATATGTTTGACCACCTCACTTAAATCTTAAAAAAAACGTTTTATATTTAATATTTTAAAAAACAGATTTCAGAAATGAATTCAGTGGTAAAAAATTGTTCTATAACAATTTAGACTGAAAAAATTGAAAAAATTTCAAAAATATCATTTTTATATCGCGGTAAATCACCTTAAAAAGGCAAAAAATTTTGAAGAATTTTTTGTTTTTTATGAAATTTTCACCATTGCAATACTAATTTAAAGCTCTTTTTAATGATACATAGTATTTATATATAAAAATAATTTGAAATTTTTACACATGTATCTATATTAATAAAATAACATCTTAACTAATAAAAAATATTATTTGAATAATATTAACTTAAAATAATATTATTTCTCATAAATTTAAAAAATGTTCAAACAAATGTATTAAATTTTGCTTGAGTAAATAAAACTTATATCTTGAGTGTTTGTTTAAATATTAATAAAATAAACTTATTAGTTGTAGTAGATAAGTAAGTTTATTTAGATAAGTAAGTTGGTAAGTTTATGTTAAGATTATTATGCTATAATGTATATTTTTTAGCTGTAAAAGAACTAAATTAGTTAAATTTGACTTTTTAAATTTTCATATCATTAATAAATGATTAAGTCATTTTTGGAGCACCTAAATAACTAAAAAAAGGGGTATTTAAATGTATATATGTATATAGGCCAAAGAGGTTTTTTGTCCATGGTTCTACGATTGTGTCGTTTAGGGTAATCTTCTCATTATCGTTTTTTTATTTTTGTTTTAAAAAATGTAAAAACACAAAGCAGTTTGTAACTAACTGATTTTACTGAAGAAATGAGCGCTACATAATAATAACTAATTGATAATTAATTTTTTGTGTATGTGTGTGAGCAAAAACTGTTACTAAAATAAACCTTAATGGATAAGAACAAAATTTTCAGAAAAGTAAAAGAAAAATATAAAAACATGTGTATTTATTACTCTGTGTATTTATTCCTATATACTTTGCAAGTTTGTACTACAATAAAAATGAGCATGAGCATTAAATATATTGAACAGTTATAAATTTTCAACAAAAAGAAATTTGCAGATGTCTGCAATCATATTTTTAAAAGTTTAATTTTAGAAATATAGAAAACATTTAAATAGAAAAAAAGTAAAATTTTTTATAGATAATAAAAAAAGCTATATGAACATAAGAACTTGCCTAGTGAATAGTTAGCTATATTTGCAAATAATAAAGACAGCGATTTGGCCACGAGGATCACTAACTTTAACAATTTAGCAAAAAGCTATCAATATTTGTCAGGATAAACACAGCGATTTGGCTACGAAAACAGATAGCTTAATAAGCTAAAGATTCATTGGCTATTGCAGCTAGAAAAAATTTGATATGTAGCTACCTACCAGCTATAGGTTTGTAGATATTTTGTAGTTAGCTACAAAGTTACGATATGTAGCTAGCAACACATTGCCACAAAATTGCAATTTTTAAAGTTCAATTATTCTTATAATTATAATAGACTCAACACTAAAACTCGAATTTTTAAGAATGTTAACGCATTAGGAAAAAAAATTATAATAAAAAAAAAAATTATTTAAAAATTGTTATAAAGCTAGCTAGTAGCTCACTTGTTGCTAGCTCGTTTTCCATTGGGTTCTTAATCAAGTTATTAGATTGAGCTAGTTATTGATATTTGAAATAAAATGTGCATTATTTGTTTCAAAATATTTTAATAAAAAGCACACACCTAACACCACAAACATAAGATTATTTTGATAACACTTATTTCGCTTTGTTTTCAGTAAATAAAAAAGTCTCTATTTCAACTCTTTTTGCTAAATTTAGCGCAGAAACGCAAATAGTAGGGCAGAACCCAAGGGCGGATCCATAAGGAGGGGGGGCAATGGAGGCGATTGCCCCCTCTTAGAAAGTTTTGAAATTTATTATTTTTGTAAGTTTATATATTAAACACAATAAGTTGTTTAAAAACGGAAATAATATAATTAGGCTGTATGAATAAAATTACAATTTTAATAAAATTATGTAGTGCAAATTCTGAGTTTTTAATAAAATTATGTAGTGCAAAAACTGTGCGATTGCTTGCTTACAAATCACTATACCTGAAAATCTTCCCCACTCCTCCCTCCCTCCGGCCTCACTTACTAATATTGTCTGCATCCCCTAAATCAAAAAAATTTTTAAAATAGCCCCCTACCTATCTTACGATATGGTCGGCATCCGCCCTTAGCAGAACCGCTTTCTAATCCTTTTTTTTTATATTTTTTTATTGATAGTATACTAACATATTTACTGAAATAAAACTCCACTATTAAATGGAACGGAGATATATAGATACTATTCTAGTTGCGCTACTGCTCTATAAAATTATTGTAAGTAAAAGGTCTTAAAAGTATGATTGTTTTTAGTGAAAAAATATTACCGACTTTTACAAATCCAAGCCCAAGACAAGATATTGCATAAAAACACCTAAAGATACAAACAAATTTATAAAAATAAAATTATATATATATATATATATATATATATATATATATATATATATATATATATATATATATATATATATATATATATATATATATATATATATATATATATATATATATACAGAGGTATAGACAGAATTTTTGTTGTTCGAGGTAAATTCCAGACATGGAGCAAACTTCAAATATTTATATTTTTATACATACGTCATTTAATGAGGCTTTGCAAAAAATTGCGACGATTGGAGGCTGGGAAACAAAAAAGACCTACAATTTTATCCCCCACCCCTCACCTGTCCCAAACGTGAGAACAACAAGTTGATAAAATATATTTTGTACTATTCTTAACTAGACTTGTTTTCATTGATAAAATTTAAGTTTCATAGTACAATCTTTCAGCGTTCATTAATTATGACCGTTTAAATTTTGTAACCCTCTCAAATTGAGAGAGGTTCAAATTAGGTAAGTTCATAATTATAAAACGCTGAGATTTTACTACAAAACTTAAAATTTATTGATGAATATAAGTCTAGTTGAGAATAGTACAAAAAATATTTTATCAACTCGTTGCTCTCACTTTTGTGGTACGAGGGGGGCAAAAATTTTAGGGCTTTTTTGTTTCCCAGTTTCTAATCATCGCAATTTTTGCAAAGTTACCTATCGCGAACAACAAAAAGTTCTGTCTATGCCTCTGTATATATATATATATATATATATATATATATATATATATATATATATATATATATATATATATATATATATATATATATATATATATATATATATATATATATATATATATATATATATATATATATATATATATATATATATATATATATATATATATATATATATATATATATATATATATATATATATATTAAATTGCGACATTGTAGAATGTTCTAATTAATTTAGAGGATCGATTTTTCTAAATAAAGAAATCACATTTCTGTAAGAATCAAAGATATATTTGCTACAAAAATATTAACTAAAAAGATTATATTCAAAAACGACAACTGTACATGGATATAAAGTTTCATAATAGGATATTGAAAAAGAGAAAAAGAGAGTGAGAGAGAAAAAAAGAAAGAGGGAGAAGGGCAATATGAGAATATTAAGAATTATTCTTCCCTTAATTTTCAAAGGGTATTATATTTTTAATCTATGAAAGAATTTTAAATGATATTATGTCCATATCTATAAAATCAATACGTTTTTTTAGAATTGAAAAGTCCGATTTAGATATAAAGGAAAATATTTAATATTTTTTTAATTTTTTAATAAAAACTATTTGTGATTTCTCTTTGGATATTATTAGTTGTGAAATTATGGGATGCATAATTTACAAAAGTTATTTATTCCTGTGGTTTTCTGTATCAAAGAATGTTTTTATTTATCAAAAGAACATTTAATCGTGCAACTTCTGATACTGCTTTTTTCTCTACTGAAGTTTAAAACAAGTTTTGATTTTATTGCTGTACTGTGTTTAAAAATAAGTAATTTTCATAAAACTCTTTTTACGTGTATGTTCAAGCAAGAAATGTTGATATTTTTTGTATTTGAATCTTATTCAAGCGTTAAAAGATCTTTTCTCTTCGCATAGATGTATTGTTGATCAAGACCTTGAAACTTGCTCTAAACAAACCTAAAAATTCCATTTTAAATTATTGCATTTAAAATTATAGCAATTTAAATTATTTTTAATTGGCTTTCACTGTTCTTTTGCAAGAACATCTAAACACTGAGTTTAACACAATATTCGATAATACAATTTTAAAGTGTTGTGAAGCACTTTTCGTTAATTTTTTTTCTTCCTAATCTTTAGTTTCTTCAAAAACTGATTTCGGAAATTCATTGTTCTTGTTATACTTATTGGAATTATCATATTATATCTTTCACTAAATTTCTACTTAATGAAAAGGTTTATAAGGCTTAGTTGTTATTGACTATTTGAATTATAAAAATGAGCTCTAATGATGCTGAAACATTATAAGCAAAAAATCTTTTCTTCATTTTTTTTTTTTTTTTTTTTTTTTTTTTTTTTTTTTTTTTTTAGTTTACATTATTTACATGTTGTGATTTCCATGTAATATAAACATATAAACTTAGAATCGTATCGTATCGATCTTGTCGCCAGAACCATATAAAAATTACAATATAAATATAATATAGTATAATAAAGGTAGTTTCAACAAAATAAGAATCCAAAACATTTGAAAAAAGAAATGGTTAAAATAATATCTCAAAAAAATTTCCAAATATTATCCGTAGAAAAAATAATGTTCTTTAACTTGTTTTTAAAAACAGAAAAATAGATAGATGAATCTAAATTAGGCTGTACAATTTTATTCCAGATATAAGGTGCTCGATAATCTATACAAAATTGATTAAACTTTGTTTGACAAAAGGGTTCTTTTAAATAGTTATTATTTCGCAAACTATATTGATTCTTTACTTTAAAGGTAAATAGTTAATTAAAAACATGAAATAAGGGGTTATTCATACAACAAAACGTAAAACATAAAATACTGTACAAGTTAAGTTCATAAATGTTTAATACATTCATATCTTTAAATAGAGGTTTTGTATTTGAAAAACGATTTAAAAAATACATTATTCGCATTGCATGTTTCTGATGGCGGTAAAGACGTTGCAACTTACTTTTACCTGTACTTCCCCAGGCAATATTTGCATAGTTTATATAGCTAAGAATAAATGAGTAGTATAGTTGTTTTAAATTATTTTTATTTAGATAATTTCTGGCCTTATAGAGGATACCAATACTTTTCGCAACTTTTGTTGATATATAATCAATATGAGCTTTCCATGTCATATTTTCGTCAAGATAAATACCTAGAAATTTTAAAACGGAATCTTTTTTTATTTCTACTTCGTCAATATAAAGTTTAGGTAAATCGTAAGGCAAAAAGCGTTTTTTTGTTGAGAAGTGGAAAAGGATCCACTTTGTTTTGTCAATATTTAAGGTTAATTTATTGCATTTAAACCAGTTAGAAACTTGATTAAGTTCTTTATTCATATCTAAAAAAAGTTTGTTAATGTCTTTTATTGACAAAAATAAACTGGTATCGTCGGCAAACATGATGCTTGTAAGATTCAAGGCCTTATTTAAATCGTTGAAGTATACTAAAAAGAGAAGTGGGCCAAGAGTAGAACCCTGTAGAACACCACATTTTATTTCAATAAATATTTTATTTTGAAGATTAATAGGAAGCAATTCTTCTGCTTTCTATTTGACAAGTTGCTTTCATTTTACCAGTTATTGCGTAGAACTCAAGTTTTTTAAGTAAGATATCATGATTGACTGTATCAAAAGCCTTTGATAAATTGACAAAAACACCAAGTGTATATTGTGATTTAGCAAAAGAATTTGAGACTTCACGTGTAAATTGAATAATGGCTTGTTTAGTTGAACTATTTTTTTTTAAGCCGAACTGATTTTTATATAGTAAATTATTTGAAACCAGGTAGTTGTATAATTTTTCGAAGATAATTTTTTCTAATATTTTTTAAAACGTAGGAAGGATAGAAATAGGGCGATAATTATTTACGTTTGATTTTTCTCCTTCTTTATAAATCGGGATAACTTTATAGATCAGGGAAAACCCCTTATTGTATAGATGTTTGGAAAACTTTAAATCGAATATTTTTCAAACTTTCATAGCAATCTATAATAATGTTCCCGTTTATTCCATCCGCACCGATTGCTTTGTTTTTTTTTAAAGATTTGAAGTCTCTTTCAAACTCTTCAATCGATAAGTCTAGGAATAAGTCATGGGAAGAAAGTAAATTATTTGAAGTTGTCAAAAAATCATTAAAGGAAATATTTGTAGATGGAATCCTATCAGCCAACCTACTTCCGATATCAGTCAAGTATTTATTAAATTCTTTCGCTATTTCATTTGGTTCATATACACATACATTGTTTATCTTAATCATTTTCGGAACGAAATTGGAACAGGTTTTCTGTTTTCCCGTTATTTCTTTCAATATTTTCCATATTTGTTTTGAGTCATTTTTATATTTAGTGATTAAATTAGAGTAATAATTTTTTTTTAGGTTTTTGCGAATTTTTTCAAATAAAGTTTTTTAATTTTTATATATGCGTAAATTACCATGAGATTTTGTTTTTAAATGTTTATATACAATTTTTGTTTAATTTTTGAAGATTTTTTAAGACCCTTGGTAATCAAAGGACTACTTAAGGTTTTTGGTTTTAGTTTGGTTTTTCATTAAAGCGCTTAAAAAGATATGAGAGAATGATAAGAAGAAGTTTCAAAGCAAAATGGTAGGTAAAGTCTAAATGGTTTAGTTTCGCATTTCACCCAAAGTCATTAAGAAATAATAAACAAGTTTTTTTAAAGGTTTGTTATAAATACTTTTGAATTGTGTTTTATATAAAATTCAAATATAATGAAAGCATTATTTCGAAAAACGTTTAAGATAATTTTTGTTAAGCAGCTATTTTTATAGCCGAACATCTTTGTAAAAACATTATTCGACATTGTACAATTAATTAAGTGCAATAAATTTTTTGACTCTTGGTTTATATTTAAAAAGTTTATCTATAGTTAAAAATTATTTATAAAATTAAATTAAAAAATTCACACTGCAAAATGTTTTTAAAAAAAAACTTTTCAATATAGTGTTAGGACGTGAAGGTTTTTGTCAGTCATTGTGAATAAATAAACAGGTTTGTTTCCAGGTAGTTAATAATAAATGATATCATCTTTTATTAAATTTTTTAATAAATGATATCAACTTTATAAGTTTAATTTTTGTCATAAATAAAATTTAAAATAAAGCCTTGCGCCTAACGTGGTTCTACTATTTCATTTTTATCTTTTTGAATTTTATCTACAGAAATCTTGTATTTAAAAAATTATAATCTCTTATAACAAAGAGGTAAAATCATGGTTAAACTACGTGTCCGGGGCTACCCTCCAATTTTGAAACATGTCTTTTTTCCAACATTTTTTCTTTTATGTTTTGTATTTTATTAAGATACATAATAATTATTTTTTTGTTTCTAATTTGATAGACGAATGTTTGAACTTTTAAAAAAAGTCTTTTGACACTTTTTTTTCTGTTAGCTCATGTGCACAATCTATATTTTCCTTAAGTGTACGGGGTTACCCGACTCTCCCCTATATATTATATAGACGGATCGAGCATGTTTTTGTCTTTGGGATAGCTAACTTTCAGAAACGGAGCAAACTCCAAGCATTTATATGTTTATAATTATGTCAATAAGTATGCTTTGCAAATAATTGCAATGACTGAGGCCTGGGAACAACAAAGCTCAAAATATTTCTCTCCTCTGACCCAAACGTGAGAGCAACAAGTTTATAAAATATTTTTTTATTATTCTCAACAAGATTTATATTCATTAACAATTATTTAATTTTATAGTATAATTTTTCAGCGTTCAAAAATTATGACCATATAAAGTTTCAACCCCCCTCAATTTGGGGGGGGGGTTACAATTTTTATATGGTCATAAACTTTGAGCGCTAAGAAATTATGCTATGAAACTTAAAATTTATTCATGAATATAAGTCTATTCGAGAATAGTCCGTTAAATATTTTATCAACTTGTTGCTCTCATCTTTGAAAACGAAAATTTTTTTTGTTCCCAGGCTCCAACCATTGCAGTTTTTTAAAAAACATCTTAATTTGACATAAGTTTAAGCATAAGTTTAAATAAATCAATTGGTTTTTTTTTTGACATAAGGCTGAGTGTACATACAATGACTGATTTGATAAGCAATAGGCGCAATGAAGCACTTGCTCGTTGAAAGAATATTTTGGCTTGATTTTGACAATGAAGGTAGATTAACAGAAGACTTTATTATCGGGCTTGGTTTAAATTTTTCGGGTATACTGTTTTTTTTCAGCTTCTTTACAATGTAACTTTCAAAGAAGACATTCCTGTGTATGCGTGCGTACACGCGCGCGTGTGTGGAGAGTGGGGAGTGTGTGTGTGTGTGTGTGTGTGTGTGTGTGTGTGTGTGTGTGTGTGTGTGTGTGTGTGTGTGTGTGTGTGTTGATTAAACTCTCAATATTTGTAAAATAGATAATAGACTATAAACTAACTGTTTATTAATTATTATACAAAATGGTAATAATTATATTTAGTAATAAAAAAAAATACCCAGTAACTAATCGGGATTTCTTTGCACCAAATTTATCAATCAAAATACCAATTGGAAATTCAGCGCATATGCAAATTGCTGACACTGTAAAAATTAGGTTAAACATAATGTCTTGTTGATCACAGTTAAGTATCTCTGGTTCCATCCTATTTTGTATTAAAGTTGAGTTCTGATGAAGAATCGAAGAACATAGTTTTGCATAAAGTTTCTTGTCTTTAAATATTACAACAATACTTGCCCAACCATAAGCTATACCAGAGATTAATAAAGTTTCCAACAAAATATATATAAAGAAAATGGATTGGTAGAGTTTGCTATTAATATCACGGAAAATCATTTTAGTTAAAAAAGCTTTATGCTGTTTTTTTCAAAAACTACAAAAGATTTTTCTACTATTATATAGCGTGGTTTTTGAGATTTACATAACAAATAAAACTGTTGCTTTTAAACCAACCATGTAGCGTCAATCAAAACATATTTAAATAGAGCAGTTAAAAAAACAAACAAGGCAAAAAAATTTATATTAAAAATGTAAATTTTTGTTACTATTAGTTAAATAAATGTTACTTTTTTTGTTTATTTAACAAGTTAATTAATAGAGTATTTTAAAAAAAAATGCAGTTAGTACTTTAAATATTTTTATAATTAAACTCCGTGTATTTTTTTTTATATATATATATATATCAACATAACGTTAATAAGTATTGTAAGAAAGAGGGGGGCACCTTTGAACACTTTCTCCCCTTTCTATTATAAATCAAAAAAAAAAAATTTAACAATTTTTTTATTTTGAAAAGTTAAATAATCATTAAGGAAATAATTACTTCGATTGGATAAATTCTAAGTCAAAAATTAAGTCAGTATTCTCGTTCTAGTAAGGTGCGCAAGATTTTAGGATAATTAGGATTTATTAGCACGTGTGCACCCTGTAGTAAAAAAAACAACCTCGAATAATTTTAAAAAAAAATCTTTACAAGCAACAAAATTAGAACTTTAATATATAAACTGTGAAATATATAAACTTTAATATATAAACGCAAAAGTTAAGATCAATATATATTAAATTTAAGAAAAAATATTAACAACGTAATAAAGAATATATTTATATATATATATATATATATATATATATATATATATATATATATATATATATATATATATATATATATATATATATATATATATATATATATATATATATATATATATATATATATATATATAAATCCTCAAAACTATAATGAAAAATACTTTAATCTATGTTGAGTTATTATAACTTTTAACTATTTTGATTTCTGATTTCCAGATTTTAATATATATATATATATATATATATATATATATATATATATATATATATATATATATATATATATATATATATATATATATATATATATATATTAAAATCTAGAAATCAGAAATCAAAATAGTTAAAAGTTACAATAACTCAGCATAGATTAAAGTATAAGTAGGCCATGAATTTTTGTGTTTTAAAATTTCTAATGAGGTTTCAATTTTTTTCTTGCGTAAAAGATAGTGCGTCAGGAAGAATCTTAGATTTCCCACTTTTTCTGCCTTTAATTGATAAGAGCTTTTGGATATGGTCTTACAAATTTAGGTGTTATTGTGTGCTGTGATTGTCATTACTTATATTTGTTTGCTCATCATCCTTATAATCAATGTTACAATCTTCTTTTTGCATAATTATGCTTTCAGGTTTATTTAGAATTTAGCCAATCATTCTGAGAAATAGACAGTTTTTGCTTAAAAGGACCATTAACTGCCACATCTAAATGTTGCATTTTTTGTGTGAAGTAAGAAAGAAATGTTAAAACCACCATTCCATTTTTAAAACAATAATTGATGGCATCTAATATACAATGGCTTTCATGATTATCAATTAAGAGTAAAACGAGATCCTTATTCGAACATCTGACTGGTTATTTTTTATATGTTCTAGAACCTTTAAAAACTATGGCCCTGTCATCCAGCCACTTTTTGGACTGTTTGCATAACCAATACAATCAGGAGATCCTCCTTTTATCATGGTTTTCATAGTTATTAAAAAATTGATTTACATTGTGTTCATTAAAACACGTTGAGCGAGACAAACTCGTATTTTTAGGTTTTCGAAGTGAAAGTTTTAGTGGTGTTTCATGAAGTCTTTCAACCACTCTATACAAGCTTGTTTATTTTCTATCCATTTACTTAGACATTTGCAAAGTTTCATTGCATAATGAAATGCTAATTATCGTGCTTGTTTATATGTCAACCCATAGTACATTTTAGAGCTTTTTATTAGATAATCTTTCATTATTATTTCCTCACCTTCATTAAATACTTATGCGACTGTGTATTCACTTGTAAAACCTAACTTGGTCTTGGATAATTACTTTTTATACTTTTTTATTCTGTAATGTAAATTATTATGTTTCAAATTATAGGCTATATTAGCTTCGTTTGGTTTCATTAATCCATTTGCAACTTGGAGAACAGCATTATTGACATCTTCCTTTATGACTTCTGTCACTCTCTTTTTTTTTAAATTTCGTAGCATTTTTATCGTTAAATTACCAAAATTCAGTCCGTAAATAATGAAGCAATAGAGTGCAGGAAGTTGAAAAAAAGCATTAAATAATTCAAAGGTGCCCCACTCTTTATTTTTCCAAACCGCCCCAATGGCGTCTTAGAGAGTAAATGACTATTTATCGAAACAAAATAATATTTTTTAAAAAAATATTTATCTTCATTGTAAATGGAATAAAATATTCTATATAAACAATAGCATTAAATTCACCGTTTTTTTAAAAATATTGTCAAGAAAGTCTAACAACTTTTTATCCAAATCTCTTTTTCTCTCTCTTTATAGACTCGTTCAATGTAGTTAATCATAATAAAATTCATAGTTAAAGGGTTTAATTTTGAGACGAACAAATCCATTAATTAAATTTTTTAATTTAATATTTTAGAAATAATGTTTTCATTAACTTAATATTTTTAAAAAATATTAGCAAGATAAAAATTTATTTTTAAAATAGATAAAACCAAATAAAAATATGTTGTTTTTTTTCAATTATCTACTCCAACATCAACTTTTTTAAAGGAAATAACTTTTTTATGTAAAAAGTTTTAATTAATAGGCTTGTGTCCTTTTCGATAGGAGGAGTTTGTTTGTTTTAAAGATTTTCTCTTAAAAAATTATTCAAAGAATATTTTGGCTTTGGTTTATATAAAGAGTTTTTTCATTTAACCTTGTTTTTTATTACTGGTGTTTGTTATTCCGTTTTTATGATTAATTTCTAAAAATGTATAATAAAATTTCCAATAAAGGTAGATTGGATAATGATGAACGAAGCAATGCTGATGAATGAAAATTCAAAAATCAAAGTAAAATCTTTAATAGTCGTCATTTACAACAATGTTAAAACAACTATAGTTGTCATTTACGCTATCTTATTTTTAAAATTAATTTTGAGTAAAGCTAAAGAAAATTTTAATAAATCAGAATAAATATTAGAAATTTAAATTAAAACCACAAATTTTTTATTTTATTTTGTTATAATCATCATGACATTTTCGCACTCAAAGTATATGAATAACACATATGATTACATCAGTGTTTTAAACATGGGTATTTAAATAACAATCACAAATGGCCATCAGGAACAACTTTGATATATGGTGATACATTATTATCAGGAATTAATGAAAAATGAATCCATAAATCAGGAAAAGTCAAAGTTAGAGTTTTTAATGGTGCGCCTATTGAAGACATTTCAATTTAATTCCGCTTATGAGTAAAGAACTTGCTAAACTAATTCTCCATTTTAAAACAAACTACGTTAATGACTCATCGGAAAATGCTATGAATAAACTGAATGATCTCGTATCACAAATATCGATTCTATATCCCTGCTGCATTCTATCAACTGTTATTCTATCAACGCCAATTTGCCGCTACAATAATGCTAAAGCCAACTTGTCATTCAAACACTTTGCCGCAAAGATAAAAAGATCCAAGTATTTTAAATTTTAAAATTTAAATTCAATTATAGATGACCTTTAGTTGAAAGGTCTCAATTGAAACACGCAAGGTATGGTTAGATTAGCCATAAATATTATTGCACATTTTAAGTCTTTTTTACATACCTTACTCCAGTAAAATAAAGGATTACTAAAACACTTTTGTATAATCCAATGAAGAAAATAGTCAAAAGTCTGTTTTGGATAAACTTAGGGTAATATTGAAAAATAACGTATGCAATGTGTATACCATTCATTCTCATAAATTCTATACAAAATAAATTTACAGTCATTACTTCCTTTATTAACAAAACTGTTGATATTTTTAAGGTGGTAGAGCTAAAAAAAATATGTAAAAATTTTAAAAAAATCGTTTTTTTTTTATTTTTTATTTTCGAAGGAAAATTACTTAGCTTTCATGTATTGAAAGAAAATTTTAAAAAAAATTATTTCTTATTTAGTTTTTAAAGCTTTTATGTAACTACATACAACGACTAGTCCTTAGTTACGCCCTTAGTAACGGTAAACAGTTTTTTTACCTTGATACCTTTCCATAAAGAACAACAAGATTTATATCATACACTGATAAACGTGCAATTGTTAAAGGTCATTAACTTAAGGAACATTGTAAATTTTGGCAGTTTTTTGAAGCAACTTTAGTGGATGCTGTTTAATTTTGATGTTATAAACCTTTTCAGATTTTACCTCAAGTATTATAAATAATGAGTACTTCAAGAAATAACATTAAAGTATCTAATAAGCAAAACTTTGGACAAAAAAAGAAAAGATTTTTTCATGGAAATCGTTATACAATTGCAGCAGAAAGACAACAGAAAAGCAATCTGAATATTGTTCCAGCTTCAAGTTGTGCAAGTGCAAGAAAATTACTGCCACTGATAAATAGAAATCAAGTTGTAAATGACAAAGTGAATAAAGATTTTTTCATACTTATCAATTTTTCAATTTTAAGTGATATCATGGAAGATGTTAGGTGTCCAGATTGTTACAGCCTTGTTACCATTGTTGATAATCTTTCTAAGCGCATGGGTTTTGCCCATCACCTTGAAATCAAGTGTAGTTTATGTGAATGGAAAAAGGTTTTGTATTCTTTTAAGCAGATTAGTAAATTTAATGGAAATACAGCCCAGGGTAGGAAAACATTTGAAGCAAACACAAGAATGATAATTGGATTTAGAGAAATAGGTAAAGGGTATCAATCTATGAAAAACTTTAGTTGCTGTATGAATTTACACTGTTTGACAGCTACTCCATTTAGAAAACTAAATATAGAAATATCAAAAGCTTATGATAAAACTGCTAAAGAAAGTATGAAACGTGCCACACATGAAATGAAAGATAACTATACTGATGATAATAAA